AGAAGTCTCAGAATTGGCGGTTCAACATCATTTTGCATTGGTGGGTTCGTTCGTAAGAGGTCGCCCTAACATGATGGTGTTAAGACAAGAATTTGAAAAAATAGGGTTTTGTGGTCCATTATCGTTAGGGCTGCTAGATCAACGACATATCTTGATTAAGTTTGGAACGGAAGAAGATTTTCAACGATGTTGGTTGAGGCAGACATGGAGTATAAGGGGTTTTAGAATGCGTGTTTCACGCTGGACACCAGATTTTCGACCATACGTGGAATCTCCCATAGTTCCAGATTGGATCACCTTTGACGGACTGCCATTACACTTGCAAGACAAGAGGGCGCTATTCTCTATTGTAGGCATGATCGCTAAACCTCTAAAAAGTGGATGCGGCTACGAAAAATTTGTCTCGACCGTCTACGGCTAAGGTGTGTGTGGAGCTAGATTTGCTTCAAGAAATACCAAGTAAAGTTCTCATAGTGAATGGCAAGAAGGAGTTGGTTCATCCAGTCACGTATGAGGATTTACCTAAATATTGTGTGAAGTGTAGCCGTTTGGGTCATTGTAAGGAGGAATGTGGTGTTCCAAAGATCCGAGCAGTCAAGGATATAAACCAAAACTTGAAGCAAGGGCAGCTGATCATTAAAGAAAATGGGAAGGATGCTCAAAAACAACCTGAAAGAAGGAGCCAAGAAAATGGGAAGTATACTCAAAAACAACCTGAACGGTGGATCCAGGTCACTAAGAAAAATAAAGAGAAGGAGGTTATTGAGACATCCATCGAACCAAGCATTGAGACAATTAGAGAATTGGTGGAATCTTCAAAGAAAAATGAGTTAGGCAAAGACACTGAAGTAGGGGTGATTGAACCAGTCACTAAAGCGGATTTAGCCCTGCGAAGGGTGATCATGGGGTGGTGGAAACGAATGTTTTGTTGGTTGATAATGTAGTGGTGAAGAGCAGTTCTATTCAGGAGGCATTTATGGAGGAATACCCAAATATGGAGGAGGAATCCTAGTTGGCAATTAGAGAATCCAAGTTGGCAATTGGCAACAATGAAAACCAGGCGGGGATTCTATCAAGAGGGCTACTGATGTTACTAAACTTATCTCTTTTGAGGAAGGTAGCAAGGGTATGGATGAAGAAAGGGTGGTGGTAGAAGGGGAAGGTTTTGTTTCCGAGGGTGAGGTTGCTTCGGTAGAGGAGATAGCTAAGGATGCTTGGAAGATTGTTTGGACCTAAACAGTTTCGGTTCCAAAATATGTGGTTCTCTAATTCGGATTTTTTTGTCTTTTGTGAGAAGCAAATGGGAATCTTACCCCACCAGTGGAGGAATGAGGGGTTTTTCTGCCAAACTTAAAGCCTTAAAGGGTGATTTGAAGAATTGGAACAAAGTACCCGCACGGGTAGCTCAGTTGGTCGAGCGGTGGGAAAAATTGGACGTAGACCAAGGTTCGAATCCCGCAGCGGCCAAAAGGGGGTTTTCAGAACCTGAAATAAGGCTGGCCCTCTGGTGCGCACGGGTAAAGGCCTACTGCCGCTTTGCCGACTGAATCACCGTGATTTACTCCCCCACCATCCTGTCGGGTTGGGGTGGGGGGGGCCTTGGGGTTGGGGATTCAACCTTTTGGACGAAGAATTGGAACAAAGATGTTTTTGGTGATAGTTTTACCGAAACTAGTAAGAGGGAATTAGAAGCTTTAGCAGCTGAAAAGGAATTTGAGGAAAATCCTAATGAAGAGACTCGAGCAAACTGTTTCAAAAAGCAGGCTGATTTACTTGTTCGTGAAAAGCAACAGGAGGCTTTTTGGAAACAGAAGGCTAATGTTAGATGGATTCGGGAAGGTGATGCAAACACCCGCTTCTTCCATGAAAAAGCCAAGGAAAAAGTAAGAAGATAACAAATTTTAGCTATCAAAGGGTCGGATGGGATCTGGCGTTATGATAAAAAGGATATTGCGGATGAGGCCATTGCTTTTTTCAGTAAACTGTATGAAAAGGAAGATACTAGATCTCAGGATGAAGTGCTTAGACATATTCCGTGCTTGGTAGATAATGTTGATAATGAGATGCTAAGTGTTTTACTAGGAGAAGAGGAGATAAAAGAGGCCATCTGAAATTTAAATAAAGACTCCGCACCTGGACCGCATGGTTTTGGAGGGACCTTTTATAGAGGCTGTTGGGACATAATCAAGAAGGATGTGACTCTTGCAGTTCAAGAATTTTTCTTAGGTTTGCCGATTCCAAGAAGTGTGGAAAGTGTCAACATGGTTCTCATACCTAAAAAGAAAGCCCCAATCTTCTTTGGAGATTTAGGCCTATTTGCCTCTCCACCTTTATTAGCAAAGTTAATACACGCATTCTCGCTAATAGGCTAACTGTATGTTTGACTAAAATTATTTCTATAGAGCAATCCGGTTTTATGAAAGGCATGGATATCAAGCATCAAGTTCTGGTTGCTCTGGAAATTCTTCACAATTTAGATAAGAAGGTTCGTGGTTCAAACATTGTGGTGAAATTAGATATGGCAAAAGCTTTCGGCATGGTGGATTGGGACTTTCTAGAGGCTGTTTTGAGGAAGTTTGGTTTTAGCCAGAAGGTCCAAGAGCTGATAATGGGGAATTTGAGATCTACATTTTTTTCTATTATGGTTAATGGCATACCACACGGTTTTTTAAAACCATATAGGGGGGTCAAGCAAGGGGACCCTCTTTCTCCTTTGCTTTTCATAATCATATCCGAAGCATTTTCAAGAGGCTTGAACTATTTGATGAGCAAAGGTGCTATAGAAAACTATAACCTGGGAAGAGGAGTCAGAATCTCACACTTGGCATTCACAGACGATCTTATGGTTTTTCTCAATGGCTCTTCCAAGTCAGTTAGTAATTTCAATGACTTCCTACATTACTACCAAGAGGCGTCAGGTCAGTTAGTTAACAAGGATAAATCATGCTTTGTTGCTAGGAAGCATACTACGATTGGCAGAATCAGCCATATTGAAAATATCCTGGGGATGAAAGTGTCCAAACTCCCTTTTAAGTATTTAGGAGTACAAATCCATAAAGGAATTACCATGGTGAGCCATTGCAAAGGTATATTAGACAGCCTTAATGCTAAACTTTCTATGTGGAGTAATAAATGGTTGTCTCAAGGGGGCAGATTAACTTTAACAAAACATGTACTCAACTCTACCCCCTACACGTTTTGGCAGTCACTAGTATACCCAACACTGTGAGGACTGTGATTAAAAGAAAGATTTGTAATTGCTTTTGGGACAGCAACAACAACAAGCCAAAACATCACTGGATCAGTTATAAAAATATGTGCAAGCCTACGGATTGTGGTGGTCTTGGTATTAGGTCTATTGATGATATCCAGAAGATTTCTGGTATCAAATTATGGTGGGAGTTTCAAACAGGGGAAGATATGTGGTCAATCTTAATGAATATCAAGTATGGCAAAAGAGCCCCTCGGGAATGTAAACCTATTGATTCTCCCATTTGGGGGAGAATTTGCTTCTACCATGAGGAGGCAGAAAGCATGGTTATCAAGAGCTCTCAGGCCATAAAATGGAAGTATACTACAGATGGGAAATTTACTTCACAATCAGCTTATAAGGCTTTATGGACATAAGGAGGAAGAGCTTTGTCAACAAACCACATTTGGCACAAAAAACAGGTGCCTAAGATACGAATTTTCCTCTGGAGGGTGTGACATAGAGGTCTACCATTCCCTGAGCAGTTGGCCATCTTCTCAGTTGTATACTCTTCTATATGCCCCTTATGCAGCTCAGATAGTGCCTCGCAGGATCATATTCTGCTTCAATGTCCCTTTTCTGAAGTTGGGGGTGGTAGTTAATAGCATTCAAAATCATCGCAGCTCAGATAGTGCCTCGCAGGATCATACTCTACAAGTTGGGGGTGGTAGTTAATAGCATTCAAAATCATCTAATGAAGTGGTGGATTTCAACTAAAGAGAAAACCATGGATCAACTGATAAAGCAATCGTACCTGGTGTGATTTCTTGACATATATGAAAGGTCTACTAGGAGGCAGTTTGGAAGGAATCAAAGCTAAATAGAGATGCAATTATACATCGAATAAATAAATTTATGGTTAATTGGTGTTGGGCAAATAAAAATTTAAAGGGAAGTGAAAGATTACAAGAGCTTGGCCTATTACCTGCGAATCTCATACGGATGAAGCCTCAGTTCTTCGGATGGAAGAGATCGGATGCCTTCTGGGTGAAGCTTAATTGGGCGACGTTCAGGCAGAATGGAAAGTAAGCTGCGGGTTTCATTCTTTGGGATCATTCTGGAGCGATGGTTGCTGTGAAGGGCTTCCCGTTGAGTGGCTTGTCGGTGATGGATAAGGAGGTTTTACTTCAGGCGGTGGTTTGGGCAGAAGGATTGGGGTTTCCTAATGTGGTGACAGATGTTTCCTGTTTAAAGATTCTGGAGTGGGCTTGTTCTGTCCTGGGCTGGGGAAATTTGAGATTTGATTTTGTTCCGGATGGTGTTAACAAGGCTGCCAGATGTGTAGCTAAATTGGGCTGCAAAAGGCTTTTATTTGGAAGATGGGTCATTTCATTCCTAGAGAGCTTGAGGATGTTATTAGGCTTGATGTTGAGTCTATGCCTTATGTTATTTGACTCGTTCGGGTCTGGTCATATCTTTGGGTTGTTTTCTTTTTTGAAGAGGTTTTGGCCTGGTCCTCCTCTTCGTTTGTACTTCTGAGCTATCTAATAATATCCGTCAAATGTTCCACGACATTTACCCCACTGATTTTGATGGTTTGCCTTCCGGGGTTAAAAAAAATCGAGTCTTAATATGACATATGAAAATGGCAATGACTATTACAAACCAATGGAATGATGAATCATGACATGATTCGGGCAAAATGTTTTCATGAGAGGTGTTGAAGTATTCGTCAGTCGTCACACCGGTAAAGTGTGAAACAATAAAATACGAAGTACAATATGCACTACGTAGTATAAATTAGTGGGTCATTCCTTTGGTAAGGATGGAACTTAGTCTTAACAAAATTAATACCCTTTTAGTTGAGTATATATTTTATATACGGAGTATAAAGTTTGTACAAATATATTATAGAAGTACATCACATGCAAGGTTAATTAAGTTCTGAATAGAGGCGTTGCAGCTTGTCGTAATTTGCATCATTCTGTCTTCCTCATGTCTGTCATCACACCCAAACACACACACTCAGGATGTAGAATCTCAAGTAAAGCCTATTCTTATATATGGAGCATTACAAAGAGTTGATTAAACATGACGAGTAGCTCGGATATCGTGACTGGAGCGCCAACTAACCGAGCAGATGTGGCGAATCCGGTTAGGCGCGGGCACGTTTTGCGGCTCTAACTAGGCTTTCGCTGCACGCTTTCGAATCGTTTGGTGTCGTTAAGGTTATCTTATGGCTTGTGTAAGTGCGAATACCATCAATGTTTGATGTCAAACTGATGGCTTTGTGTTTCTTAATCAAATGTGGATGGCAGGCAGAATTCTTTGGTAGATGAACAACCCTCACACTGCATGCCTTTTCCAGGTTTGGAATTGCATGAAGATGTGAAGGAAGATCTATAAGGAAGTATCCTTGTTCATCTGTTGTGTTGTGTGCCTCACATGATGTTTTGCCCATCCTCCCCTTTCTGTTGCAGCTAACTGCCACTGAAGCTCCTGCAATTTCTTACACATTAAGATAATTAGTCTTTTAGGAGATTTGTTGATTAAATCCCTTTATAAACTTGGGATAATTCTTGAAATATGAGGAAAAACGTTTTGAAATTCCAAAATATGACTGTCACGTCTTTATTCCCTAAACAAGAATACTTACTATCAGGTTTGAGAAATTTTAAAGTCTAGTAATGCCAAAACAAGACAATAATTAATTCTATTCAGGAAATACAGAATGACAGTCCTATAATGGATTTCACACATTTTTATTCTTATACGGAGTCAGAGGCGGACCCACTAAGGGTCCCACGGGGTCCCGGGACTCTGTGCACCTCGAAAAAAATACCTATATATATTATATATACTATATAATATTAATTATTTAATGTATATTAACATAAAAATGACCTTAGAAAAAAAAGAACGAATCAATGCAGTGGTGATGGTTGCTTATTCCAAATATGAGGTCGCGGTTTCAAAACCTAGCTTTTTCCTTTTATTCCTTTTTCAGTGCTGGGCTTAAACAATGTATACGAATTTCCAACAAAAACTTCAACTTGGTTCATTTAGCTCATTGGTTGAGTATGTCCTTCTTTGTCCCAACAACTAGAGTTCGAATCCCAACTCCATTTTTCTTAAATTTTGCTACTTTTCTCCAATTTACTCCCATTTTCTTTGAAGGAAATTTCACTTTTATTATCCTCTAACTTGAACTTTTATTTTCTTCATTTCTTCACGCTAAAGTATCCAAATAACATCAAATGTACCAGGAAATACAAAATACACGCATAGGACTGCACTAATACAAATTAACGACAAATAATAAAAATATGTACAAAAGTACAACTTTAATAACTAAAATTATCAATAAACTAGGCCTAAAAAGTGTAAAATATAAGCACATCAGTCACCCAGTTTTTTTCTCTGCTGCTTTTCTTTGCATATCTTTTTTTAATGTTAGATTAAATTAATAAATTCATGTTCTTATAAATGTTATTTTCAATTTTATACTCCCTCTGTTCCTATTATAACTTCCAAATAGGTTTGGCACACAGTTTAAGATAGCGGGTATTGTGTGGTGGAGAGTTGTGCAAAGGAGAGAGAAAGTGGACAAAAAAAGAAAGTTGGAAGTTATAATAGGAACGAAGGGAGTACGATTTAGGATGAAAAGATATTTTGATGTTGTACCCAAATTTAAAAAACCTAGAGTACCGGGAATAGTTCAGGTGTTAATTCAAATGATTCGTCATTAGTAAATGAAGAATTGGATCAAGTTTTTATTAGTTTTATACTTGTATTAAATAGAGATTAGAGATATAAAAGGGTAGGGACCTCGTGGCTCCGACTTTCTGGGTCCGGCATTGTACGGAGTATAAGGCAATTTCTTCTTTCACTTTTATACATCTCCGCTATTAATCTCGTATCGAATGTAGCTGATCACATGTGAATCATTCTGATGTTTCCTAACAGTTTTTAATGCAGATAAATTTATCATTTACAATATGTTTTACAAGTAAACCTAATAATGTTATACGTAGTAGGATTAATCATGGTTAGATCATCATTATTATTACCTCAGTACGGTAAAGGCTCACCAATTTCATTATAGATCATGTATGCAGTCATACTCATGTATTAAAGCATAGAAAGATTGTTATGTGATGACTCATAGACTCATAGTCTAATCATGATTAGATACATATGTACGTAAATTAAGGGACTAAATATATAATTTTGTCTTCCAAAGCAAACATAATTATAACAGACCTGAGATGGGAAGAGGTTTATTAGGTCGGTTGAGATGATCACAAGGGTGACATAAAACAGAACCATCAATTAGAACAGTAGAGATTTTGTCCTCTCCGTAACCTCCCATCTCCACCAACTCTTCCCTGCCGGAGAGTTCAAGTGGGTTGGTCCCAACAATCGCAGCCGCCGGAATTTCAAGAAATGCAAGAAAGATCATTGATGCAAACACCAATGCCATCTTTCTGATCATATCGAAGGGAAAAGATTGTGTCTTTTACCTACCCTTTCTCAATTCGTTTTAGTTTGCTTTGTAAAGACAAAAGCTTCTGCCGGCTCTTATTATGATTATTGTTTTAGATTTTTGTTTACTTCTTGAAATGTATTTTGTAGTTGATGATAATGGTAGAAAATGAAACGCTACCATCTTTGCTTTTTATATTGATCGAGGTGGTAGATCAGATATGTAGCGCATGTCCTTTTCATGGATAATATAGTTGAAACAATATAAGGGTTTCTTTGGAGTGGACCATTCTCTCACATATTGTGTACATATTAGGTGGTAGAGGCAGTAGAGCCATTAGATTCCATCCATCTATAATGTGTTGGAGAAGTATATGATGAAGTTATTAATTGTATAGGCACATTTATGAGTCTAATCAGTGTTCTAAAAGCGGAGTTTTTTTCCATTTTCAGTCCTCTGACTATTGGATCAGTGACACTTTTGATACCCGACTTTCAATTTTTCCATTTTTAGTTCTCGACTATTGTGCGGGAGCCACTTTTAGTCCTCGACTTCGTTGCCTTCCACATTTAGTCCTGTGAGTGTTATAAAATTGACACTTTTAGTCCTTCCACTATGAATTTGACACAATAAGTGGAGGACTAAAAATGCCACTATTATAATAGTTGAAGGATCAAAAATGTCAATTTTATGAAAGTCGAAGGACTAAATTTGAAAAACCTCAAAATCGAGTACCAAAAGTGTCAATGACATAATAGTCGGATAACTAAAAGTGGAAAAACTCAAAGTCGCGTACCAAAAGTGTCAATGACATAATAGTTGAAGGACTAAAAGTGACAAAAACTCTCTATAAGATGAGACATGACAAGACGTCAAAGCAAAGTCTTAAGTCTTTAAACCCTACACGAGAATAGACAGAGTTTAGACATGAAAAACGTTTTAGATCAATTTTTATTGATGATTACTATTTATAATGATATACTAGTATGTAAAAATAAATAATTGCCCAAAAAATATTTTACAAGATTGCATTGAGCATAATATTTTACTTCATTCAATATCGTATATACGTAGTACTTTTTAAACGTATAAAAGTTGCAAATGCAAAATGATACGTAGTACTACCCTATATTGTTGCTATTTACAAAAAATTATTAGATTCCATGTACTCCATATAACATGTTTATAGAAATGATTTTTTTAAAACTTTATCAACTTTTTCTTTGAAAAAAATAATTTATCTTAAAAACTTCAGTTTTTTCATGCCTAAATTTCATCACCTTTCACGCTTAGGCTTCGCCTTTCACTCTTAGATTTACGCCTTTAATTTAGCAGTCAACTCTTGTTGACCACCTTTTCCACGTATTTCTAGTATGGGACGTAATCCTAGTTAATTAAGTGAATTTAATTTCTTGAAATTAATTAAAATCATAGGGTTAGACGGCCTTCTTCATTAAAAAGTATATATCCGTTTTTTTTTTAATTTAATGGTGAGATATGTGATGACTTGTAATAGTTTGCGTGTACTTAATATGTGCATGCAGATGATATTTTGTTGGGGCAGGCTTGACAAGTTACTTTACACATCTAAATATAGACTTATAGTCAATACCTAATAAGCCAAATGAGAGGGTTGAGACTTTCATACATATTATGTATGGCGGCTTAATGTGTTATACTCCCTCCGTCTCTAATAACTTTGCCAAGTTTAACCGGCACGGAGATTAATAAAGCAAAAGCTGTGTGGTTGAGGTTTGTGCAGAGGAGAGAGAATTAACTGAAACCACAAATTCTTTACTTAAAAGGGAAAGTGGCAAAGTTAATGAGACATCCAAAAAAGGAAAGTTGGCAAAGTTATAAGGGACGGAGGAAGTATAAAAAAGGGACGGCACTCCATCCCTGAGGATCCCCAACACCGATCGAACAGTTAGATGAGAGGATAAGAATTGGACTTTAGTTACAAGCTGGCAGATTAAGAATGAGGTTCTGGTCATGATACTTGCAGAGGCCTTATTCATTTTAGTATAGTAAACTTTCATCGCAGTTGCCGCGATTCGAACCCAAATGTTAATGTGTTATATATTTTAATAAGCTTATAGCCTACTAGTTTTACAATAAGTTAGGATAACAACCTTATAGTTCACCTTCCACAACGGTCACCACTTAATTGTTCCCAGTTTTTCCTTAGAATTCTAGATGTGCAGTGCTAATCACTTAGGATATCAGTCACATCTCTACCTAATTAAATTACAAAAACTGCCACTAAAAAGTCAAAATATCAATTATCTAACATGAAGAAAACACTTCCTATGTATTTATTTTCACAAAAATGTGATTACTCTCATAATGTGATTATTGAATACAACACAAAAGAAATCAATGGACATAAATATCTATCACATACACATTCACACCAAACGACTAATTTATGGAGTTCTGATACCGTACAAGCAATGTTGGAGATATGAGGGCTTAAACTTTCGCTTATCACCATATAATATAAAATGTTCAAGTCCCGACCCCTCCGAACCCCTCCGAGATTGTGAGTACAAATTGTACTCGTGATTCCGTAACGAATTGAATCAACTATTTGGTTGTTAGACGGCATCAACTAAACGCCATGTACTAGTTGTGCTTTGTACACTATAATTTACAAGATTATGCATGGCTATATAGACAATAATGGAGATTTCTATGGTACCTCTTCAAATTTGTAGTGTACCATACATTTGCCTTCTTCAGCCAATATCATTTCAAGTCATTTCATTAATGGATGTTTTAAATTCTCATATGTCATTATTTCATTTGCCCACAATGAGATGCACCATACCTTCCAAATTTCCAATAACACCTAGCATGACCCTACGATAATTCCTTCAAAATATATCTAGAGGTATGAAAATAGTACGGAGTATTTATTAAACCACATGCATCGCTAGGTGTTAAAATAGTAGCAATGCGATCATTATAGCCATCCGGCCATCTCGATCTAAATATTTGTATTCAAATTAATTGAATACTCATTGAGTAATGTAATGATTTTTGAAGAAAACTTAGTTAATATACTTGCTTTAAAGCAATACAATTCATTATTCAAACAATTTGAATAAAAGAGAACTACAAGGATCAATAAGAAAAAATGATGGATCTATATTTTCCATCTTTACTAACTGTATTTTGATATATAATACTACTTCGTCCTCCTAAGGATGTTTTTACTTAGACTGTAATTTGTTGGTCTGGTCTGGTCTGGTCTGGTCTGAACTAGTCTGGTCTGGTCTGGTCTGGTTTCTTTGTATTTTTATAACTATCCAAGTCTGATCTGGTCTGATCTGGTCTGAACTGGTCTGGTCTGGTCTGGTCTGGGACGAATTACAGTCCAAGTAAAAACATCCTAATATTGGGATGGAAGAGAGTAGTGTGGTTTTTAAGGAAAGTAGAATTATGTTGTTGATAATGAGTTGATAATGTGAGAATAAAGTAGGAATGAATTAGTCACACAAATGTTACCAAATATGATATGAGACAATAATAAAGGGACATCAAAAAATGAAAAAATGAGACAATTATAGGGAGACGGAGGAGTATTACTATATAATACTAATAAATTTTTAAATATGTAATTGAGGTCCCTGTTGTGGATAATGTAATTAACCCCTAAAAATCGTCTCCCGAGATTGTTTATTCAATGAATGTTTAACATGCAACAATCGCTGCCAATAATATATACACGTCACTTTCATGTCTCTAGAATCACTCTCATTCTTTAACGAGATTGAGTTAGAACAAAACTAATTAAAATCAACAAAAAAGAATAGGGAATTGAAATACATGTATAAAGACAAACAACGCGATCGAAAAGAAGTCTCATACTAGTAAGTAGTAACTAAAGAAATAAGGAAAAAGGTATAAATCACTACAAAAAAAACAATTGTTTTCCAGACAACAAAGATCTTATTTTTTTCACTACAAAAAAAAACAATTGTTTTGTCACGGAAGTGTGTCACGGATCCGGGCCGTGACAACATTGTCACGGAAATGTCTGATTTTTCACGAATAACGTTTGTCACGGATTTGTCCATGACAAAAATCCGTGACAACCATTTGTCACGGATTTTATCCGTGACAACCATTTGTCACGGATTTTATCCGTGACAACCATTTGTCACGGATTTTATCCGTGACAAATAGCTTCCGGTGACCGACAATTGTACAAGCCTCCTGTTTTTTGTAGTGAATACATCTCTTTGTCACGGACTGATCCGTGACAAAATCCGTGACAAGCCTCCTATTTTTTGTAGTGTATACATCTCTGTAGTATGACTGTGAGAACAAATATACTCTAATTCTATTTTTCGAAACAAATGTACCCCTGAAGTATATCTTGAAGTGCATATTACCTCTGAACTTTTAAAAAGTGCAAAAATACTCCTCATGTTCTTATAAAAGAGCAAATTTGCCCTTATTGAATTTAAATATATAAAATAAATTTCAAACAATACCAAAAAAAAATTATAAATTCGAAATTTAAAAATAAAGATTTGTTATTATGTTAAAATATTAAAGCTTTAATTTTAAATTGCAAAATTATTATTATTCCGTTGTAAATGAAGCACTTCAAATTTCACAATTTAGTCTTGTTGTGAAATTTTAAACACATTGTTATATTTTTTGAAATAACGTTCTTTGATTTTGTTTAAATTCACTATTTGTAATCTTGGACTATTTATCGTCATACAAAAAATGTAATTTTATGATACAAAGAATGAAAAAAAATAATATACTTTTTACAATGCAACACATATGTTAACACTTTTTTTTGAAAGAATCTTAAATATAGTTTAGTTTTGAAATAATATTTTATACTAACAATATTAAAATGTGATATACAAACAATAAAAGGGAGAATTGGACACAAGTACATTTAAAAAAAATTGAACTTTTAATTTATCTTTAGTGTTTTTTGAAATTTATTTTATCAATTTAAAGTCGATAAGGGTATATTTACTCCTTTATAAGAACATGAGGGGTATTTTTGCACCTTTTAAAAAGTTCAAGGGTATATATGAACTTCCACATATAATTTAGGGATATATTTGTTCCAAAAAATAGAGCAGGGGTATATTTGTTCTCACACCCATACTATAGGGATTTATTTGTACA